ATGATTTTTTTGACCTCCAAGCCATGAGATGATTTGTAGATTCTTTTAGAGTTTCATGCATAAATTAATTCTTAATACTCAAAGTATAAATTTGAAAAAGAAATAATCAAAATAACAGACCTCCTTCCGACAACTCTTTACTTGTACTTCTCATCAGGGGTGCGAAGGCCAAAATTTTCCTTTTTCTTTTTTCATTTCCAAAGAAGTTATTTATATCAGCTCATTAGTAGGGAACTGCGGGACCACATTTTTTGGTCCCGATCCCGTTTTTTTAATAACGAACACAAAAAAAAATTTTAAGAAACTTATTACGGTGTCACACATAAGTGTGCGCCGTGTTATGTGTATATTTCTGATTCTGCTCGTATAAATCGTCTAATATCTGTCTATATGTGAATATTGTAAACATGTTAATGTTAATAGATATTTGAAAACATCGGTTTTTTTTTATGAAATAATAAAAGAAATTATTAATCATCAATCGACTTGAAAAGATAATTGAGTTCTTTTTTTATTCAAAATAATTTTTCGGGACCAGCTAAAAAATGGTTTTAGTCCCAGTCCCGTAAAAAATAATTTTTAGTCCCGCGGGATCGGGACCATTTTGTAGTTCCCTATTCATTATAGATAATATGCTGATTATTGATAGATAAAATTTTTTAATAGAATCATTGAATATTTATCATTTGATACGTCTCAAATCATTGTAAAAAAAAACTATATTTACAGTATCCTAGTTCACGATAGATCATCATATTTGGTAAAATTCTTTATTTATTTTTTTTACCATCAATGTTTTTGTATTACCACCAAGTGAATCTTGTAAAAGACGTGTTAATTTTGAATCTCGATATGGTATATGTTTAGAACGACCATCTACCAAAGCAGAAATAACATTACCCAAGGCACTAAGTGATAAATTAATTCGAGTAGCTTCACGTAAACGTTCACCTTCGGCGTCTATAATTTTGCAAAATAAATAAATATTTTACATTAAAGAAAAACTATACTTACGTGTTTTTGATTGTCTTTCACTACCAGCTAAATCAACTAAATTAAGTTTTCCTGCTCGAATATGTTCTTTTCCATCAAGTTCACTTCGTGTACACATTTCCGTTAGTATAGTAAAAATTGAATGTGATCGTGATGAATCTTTATTCATAAGTGTAGCACCTGTCACTCGATTTTTATTGCCTTTATCCATCAATCGTTCACAATCGACTACACTTGTACATTGATGCCATGTTAAATTTTGTACTTGTACACCTTTATCTACATGTTCCTTTTTTTTTTTTTTGATAAATAGAATAATCAATAGATTAACAAAAAAAAAAATTTGACTGAAATAATTCTATATTACTTTAAGATCCAATGCTGCTTTAACATCCTTACCAAGTAAATCACGAATACTTTCATTATATATTTCAAGATATGATGCACGGATAAGATATTTTGTACCAGCTGCAACTGATGAAGCTTCAAATATATGCTAAAAATAACTTAATTACTAAGCAAAAAACAATTTACATAATTCTGTTTTCAAAATTCTCATATAGAATTTTATTTGAAAAGAATCAATTCTTACCTCAAATGATCGAGGTATAACACCACGTTGTAACGATCCAGGTGTATTAATTCCTTGCATAGTATATGATTTTCCACATCTAAAATTTTAATTTGATTTTTTATTATTATAAAACAAGAAAATTAATTTATACCCTGTTTGTCCATAAGCAAATACTGTTGCATTATATCCTTCGAGTACCTGGAAGGAAAAAAATAAAAATAAATTTTTTTTTTTTCAATTATATTTTAATTTACACTTTCAACTAAGGGAAAAACAGAATCAGCATATATATTTTCTGTTACAGAATCTACTGGATAGACTGCATCGAAAGTAAATTGTTTTGGTGGTTCATTACTTTGTTCAATATTTTCTAACATAATTTGATTTATTTGTGTATTCATAGAAACTATTGTCTAAAATAAGACAAAAAAAAACAATTTGATCTGTTAGATATGCTTGAAAGATTTTTTGTTTTTTTCAAGAAATATCTTACTTGACATTTTAAATCTATTTCACGTTGATTTATAGGTCGGCATCGTACAATGACACGAACAGTTTCACCTGTATTCGATGCAGCCATTATCCGTGATTATTTAATAAAGTATTCAATCTAAGCACAAGACAGATGAAAAAAAACAAAAGAAATGAAGAATAAAAAAACAAAAAAAAATAAGCTAATTATAATAATATTGTGTTATAATGATGGCATGATTTATGTTGCTAGCTCACTTGACATCAAGTGTTTTTCAGACAGAATACGATAGAAGAATATGAAAGCCAAGAACAACCATGACAGGTAATGTTGCTATTCGCGATGAAAACATTTGCCTTCGTCTAGCGAGAGAGGACGCCATTATATAAACACAGTTAGAACCTGTTAAGTCTTTATTGAAAATAAAAGTCAAAATTCCAAAAATTCATCGCCGATATAAACGTGCATTGAACTTTGCATCTTTTGATATATAAATGAAATAGAAAAAAACATATGTCACTATCACACATTTTTCTTTTAGAAGCAGAAGAAGAAAATTATTGTTTTTTTTTTCTCTAGCAAGAAAAGAATCAGTCATTTTCGATTTTTTATTTGATGAATGTTGTACTCCAGCTCAAAGTAAATATATGCAGGCGAGTGTTTGAAACAATAGAAGACATTTTCTTTTACTATCAAAACTTTTCGTTATATATACAAGTATGTGTTCGTTCTAGTCTTATGTGTTAAAGCTTGCATTTGTAGTGTATCTACAAGACGTACAACAAAAACGTAAGCTGGTGACGTTAAAATATTGGAGGCAGTCCTACTTTAACGGTGAAAAAGAGTTTTTAACTATCTATTGTTTTTGACCGTTCGAAATATTTACCATATTATACTGGTTTTTTTTAGATGTATGTAAAATTCGAATCATAAACTTGACGAATGGCTGATGAAATTCAAAAAGTTAAAGAAGATATAGTTTTAAATCATGCAGTGATATTTTTGTTGGTACAGATATGTATCTATGCATACAGCAAACGGGAAACAAGAAGTTGCGCATTGGAAAGGATTATTGAAAGACGGACTTCAACGATGTCATATCAGTCAAGATGGATTACGGATGAAGAATTTGAGGATTTTTTAATAGGAAGTTCGACAGTGACACAGCAGGTATTGATGACTATTTGCTTACTGTCGATCGAATTAATTAAACAATTTATTTATCCTTAGTAGCCAATAGTGGACGGGTACTCAAACATTAGTTGAAACGGCTTTTGATTTTCGATATAACATCACTCTATTATTCGAACAAGTGCATTGCTATCAGCAAAACTGATCATTTTTAAAAACGAGTGATGCAGTTCAACCTTATAGACTTGTTCGAGCATATCCTGATGGGTGACAGATATATTTACTTTTAAATTAAATAATGAAAATGATATACCAATAGCATTCTTGAATTATTTAGAGAATATTAATACAAATGTATTGTTTGTAGTGAATCATATTTTTGATGTTTTCTTTAAAGAAGGATATTTCAATAGAAATCCTGAATTGATTTCATTAATTATATTGTTAAATTTTGGAATAATGTCAAAATATTTAGATAGATTCAAGATTTACTATCAGAATTAACTGAATAGTCAAATATCAAAAGTTTTTCATTTGAAATTTTTTTTAGCATTATTCATTATACGAAAATAAAACATCAGTTATTCATGCAACAAATAGTCGACGACCTAATTTTAACATTTAATAATATTGAAGATCTCTATAATCGAATTATTGCATCAATAAGATTATCATTTTATGGGTCCGAAGAGTTTCGAAACAAGTATTTAACAAATGCCGTAGACACACTCATTAGTCTCGATGAAGATGATGATAAAATTAGATTAATTCTTAAATTTATTATCGATAAATTGATACAAAAAGGGAAAAAAAGACATTATTTCAATTCTTTTTCCATATATTATAAAACCATCAAATGAAGTATTACCAATCGTTCAGCAATTGTTTACTCAATATAATAATAACAATTCAATTAAAAACTTATTAGTACTTTTACTTGTAGAAACAAAGTATATTTTTGAATCCACCATTAATACAATTATTGATTTATTAAAAAACGATGAGATATAGAACTGAACGAATTTTACAATATCCAGAAAGAGATGTCAAAGAACCAAGTAAGAGAATATCTATCATAGGAGAAAAAAAATTGTTAAAAATTTTTCAAAAAAAAACGAACATTTTCCACGAGTTCGAACTTATTTTGCTACATTTTTCAACTGAAAAAAAATAAATACATTAATTTACTTTTCCGACTTACAAATAAACAAATCGTACGAGAAATTAATTATATTCAGAATGATTTAGCGGAAAAAATTATTGACACAAGCACTGATGTGTTGCAAGTAGCCATTGAACTGAAATTTAAAGTGTAACCTGCTCAAAAAGTAATGATTTTCATTTTAACTCTTTATCCCAATTTCAGTTACCATTTTATGTCATACACTTACTTTTTTAACTAATTTATATGAAAATTTTCAAATACATTTTATTCAATAATACCAACTACCATCAAGATATTTATCTCGTGAGTAAAAAAAAAAAGAGAGGTCATTTTGACTAATAATTTCATAGTTATCTCTATTCATTGTTGTTTATCTTGATGATAATATTTTTGTCAATTGATGACATAAAGAATTATCTATCTTTTTAATATGACATGTTCTGTAATGCTTCTAAACATAGCAATTCCAGTTGTTAAACATTCAAGAGATTTATTTAAATCAGATTCTTGTAATTCATTAATTATACTTTTCAGTATCATTTATTCATGCATCTGACAAAACACACAGAAAACAATTAAATTAAAAATGTAACAAAAAAGAAAAAAAAACCATTATCTGATAATAGTATACTACAAATAAAATACAAATTAATAAAATTTTTTATTTATTTTTTTGTTAAAACATTTTTATTCTTCTTTGTTATCTTTTTCATTTTTTCTTTTGGTTCATTATCATCAAAATTTATAAAATAATTTTGATAAATTTCTCTATAAGCATCACTTTGTAAATAACTAGCTAATCTTGTTAAATTATTCATTTGTAAAGCAAGTTGAGGTATAAATGGATTTGGTTCAAATCGATAAATATGTTTAACATTACTCAGATCAAGTTTTCCTATGTAAATAAAAACATATACATTAATATTATTGATCATTTACATCACAACTGATCTTAATACTCTGACTTTTTTTTGAAAAACTCGTTCTTATTCATTCTACAGTTAGCAAATAATTTCTCATAATTCTGAATTTTATTTTATATACTCTTTCATAAATGTTAAAAATTGAATTATTCGTCAAAACTATAACGAATCAGAACAATTTTTTTTAAAAAAAATCAGCACTTTATTAGAAAAAAAACCCTTCCTTTTACTTACCAAAAGCTGGTGGTAAAACATTAATTTGATTTTGTTGAATATGAAGTTCTTTTAATTGATGTAAACGAGCCAATTCTTTTGGTATATGACGTAGACGATTATTACGCAATACAAGCTGAAAGAAAGAAAACAAAAAAAAAATGTTTATGTCTCACATGAATGATTTCATATCAAATCATTGAAAAGAAACAAAAAAAAAAGAACTAATTTTATAATGCCAAGTTCTACATCATCAAATATTGTATGTAGAAATTTCTTTTTCGAGATAAAAAAAAAAAAAACTTTTAATATTCAATTTAGACAACAGCTAAACGAACACGTCGTTCAAATAAACCATATCGTTATCGACGTGATTTATCACATGTTATACGTTATCCAACATTTACTAATATTATTTATTATGCAAAATATTTCTTTTTTAAAACAGTATTTGGTCGTCTTTTATTAATATTTATATTAATTGCTGGATTTAATCTTTATTTTTTTTCTCAAGTTTATTGGCCTAAACTATTAATATGGTTACAAAATTCAACATCAAAATCAATTAATACATCATATGAATCACATATTAAAAATGAATTATAATATTTTTACATACTATTTGTAAGTTTTGGAGTTTATCAATATGATCATTTGGAAATGTTTCAAATAAATTATCGCCAAGATATAATGCACGTAGATTATCTTCAAATAGATAAATATGAATATTTATATATACATCATATATGACAAAAAATTTTTACGACATTTTTTTTTTGTTGTGTATATAATTCTGTTCAAAAAAAAGAAAACATGACAAAACATTGATTACTTTTTTGTTTACAAAAGATATACTATCGAATATATTATTTTCTGCAACAAAAATAGAAAGTCAAAAATTATTGAATTTTGGTTTTGATAATAATGTCTGAAGCTACTTATAAGACCTTTAAAGTATGAGGATTATTATTCATTTATATCTTAAAGACAAGGGCAAAAAATATAACGTTTATATCAATAAGTCTGGGTACTTTGTTCTGAAATAATACGTTTTTTATTATTATGCTACTCTCAAATATATCATCGGGAAATAGTGAACTCGATCGATTGGAAATTTAGGTTCAAATGAAAGTACGTTGGAAAGATATCAGTATTGCTGTTGTACAACAGTCCAACATTTATTTGATTAAAAAATGACCTTAGGTATTAATCACAAAATCGGCTTTTCCGATTTTTCTTCGTAGAAAATAATTAGAACCCTTCCAATTCATTCTGGATATTCGGTCGGTTTTGGGTTCATAAATTTTGCACTTAATGGACTCTAATGTACTTAGAAATGTGTAAAGTACACTAGTCATTGAATAGAAAAAAAAAGCGGGAGAAAGTATCTCGTATATTCTGGGCGACTATCCAATCGCGATTATAAAATTCCATTGATCTTTTGAAAAAAAACACAATCAACGTTTGACAGAGTTATATACAAAATAGAGAATGTCGTAAAACTTGTGCTACACTCTCAGATATATATATATATATTACTTAGTTGAAAAAAGTCATTTGTTAAACTATCTTCATTTAAATCATTGCCAGTTAAATCAAGAATTTCAAGAGATTTAAGTGAACCAAATGAACGTGGTAATGAACAAAGATGATTATGACCAAGTTTAAGAATTCGTAAATGCGAAAGTGAAATAATTGATGGAGGTAATTTCTACAATAAGAAAAACAAAATTTATATCATTCACAAAAAAAATATTCTCGATTTGATGATTAAACATTTTCAAAAAAAAAAAACAAAATGTTAAAATAATAATTACCTCAAGATGATTATTTGTTACATAAGTGTTTGTAAATGTATCAGATTTGAAAATTGCGATGGTAAATCTAAAATAATAATGAAATATTTTATTTTCAAGATATATTTATTCTTACTTTTAAGTTTATTATGTGCCATATTCATATAAAGAAGTTGTTTTAAATGGCATGTAACTATAAAAAAAAAAAACGTATAAAATATAGTAATCTTTTTTTTTCTTATTGAGTTTATTGAAATCTTCTTTTCATGTCGCACAGTTTAAACTGTTTAATTAAGGTTTTTTTTTATAATTCTTTTATTAAATTAATATTTTCTCTCTTGAAAACGTTGGTTTTAATATCTCATAGTGTATTTCGTTAGATGGCGTCACACTTATCTCTGTCGAATAAATCTATGTATATTTTCGTGGTGGCATCTAGTGGCGTAACCAGGATTTTCCAGTATCCTGGATCTCTGTTAGAGAGCATGGGTCCCAAATGACAACTTATGTACATTGATATTGGACTCAAATGATGAGTTTCTATCGGAAAAAATTTTGAATCAGAGTTTGCAAAAATTAGCATTTTCCTGAGCCCTATCAGAAAATGTTTTATGTCTTTAATGATATGTCGTTTTCAGGAATGCTATCGAAAGCTACATCAAATTTCATTTAAAAAGATTCATCCGTTCAGAAGTTGTACAGTTTTCAATTCCTAGTGAAATTTTTTCGAAACGTCTCGAATCTTAAAAACGTCATAACTTCTGAATGAATCAACTTTTTTTAAATGACATTTGAAATCTGTCGATGAAATTCGATGGCATTCTTGAAAACGACATATCATTAAAGATGTGAAACATTTTCTTTTAGGGCTCAGGAAAATACTAATTTTTTTTGCAAACCTTGATTCAAATTTTTTTCGGATAGAAATTCACCATTTGAGTCCAATATCAATGTACATAAGTTTTCATTTGGGACCCATGCTCTCTGATGGAGATCCAGGATACCGGAAAATCCTGGTTATGCCACTACTTAGAGCTCGACAAGCTGAGCCCCTCCACCTGGTTTCGCCACTAGTAGCATCGGGTAGCAAATAATCAAAAGTAAAAACAGCCCGATGCGGCTTGTGTCAGAGACTTAGGTGGACTTGTAATTAGCCAAAGGTGCGATTTCAATTGATATCCAATCAAGAGTTAATCAATGATTTGCACGACATGGATCCTTATACAGATCCTCAACTTTTAATTACTTACTTAAATCCCAACAATAATCATTAATAAATTCTATATTTGTATCATTTAATATAAATTTATGTTCATTCAAATGTTCAAGACTTGTTTCAATAGCTCGTTTAATTTTTGTTGGTATTCCATCCCAATTAAGATTATTATTAAACATCTATAATAAATAAAGTATGTTTGTCTTCTATTTATTAGGAATTATATCATTTGTTTTTGTTTTTTTTTTCTTCTGTCTGTTCATAATTCAATAATCAATAAAAATGATGAGATGAAAAAGAAAAAAAAAATAAATGAAATGAATGTTATATGGTGTTTTGCTTTTTTGTTTGTTTTCGACCAAAAAAAAAAAAAAAATTAAAATAGGAACATGTTCGTTATCACAAAAAAAAAGAAAGAAGGAAGTGAGACAAGATGTCAAAAACCAACAAAAAAAAAAAAGAAAGAGACAGATAAATAAGGGCAAGAAGACATTTATTTTTTTTTTTTTTGTTCTTTCGAGATATACAAGATGTTTTTTATTTTAATATAATATTTATTTATATATATATATATATGCATATAAAAGAAAATAGCTAACATTGAATATTGGCTTTTGTATGCAATTAAACAATGTTGTGCACTGGTTTCTTTAATAGAAGCAAAAAGACCGAAGTTGAATATGAAGAACAAAAAAAAAAAAAAAAAAAGAAAAGGTGTTGTTTGATAATAAAGAAAAAAAAAAATAAAATGATCAATTACAACAGTTGTGATGATCATATTTCAACACTACTGTTGCAAATGCCAAGTAGAATTTGATCCGTTGTTATTATGTGTACGCTGTTGTTGTTGTTGTCCATAATGATAATAATTATTTCGATTGTTAGTACTACTATATGAAGCACCATTACGATTATCCTATAAAGAAAGAAATATTACTAATATTTATTCATGACAATTATATAAGTGTAAATATCATTATAAGAGATAGTAAAAATTAGAAATGAAGAACTATTTTTTTTTTTTAATGCAAAGTTTGAATTCGAAAATTAATTTTTTATATGATCTGAAAGAAGTTACAATTTTTCATTGAGAAATTCAATAGAATAATGAAACATCTCAAACATATATAGATCATACTTGGCAGGGGCGGATCCAGCAAACTTTCTAGAGAGGTGCGGTACAGTGCAGCAAACATTTTCAATGGGCGTGCGGAGGGCTAAAAATGAGTATTTACGCTAGGAGAAAATGAATATTTTTCGTTCAAGGGGAGTGCGGCCGCACCCCCCCGGGATCCGCTACTGATACTTGGAACCGGTCCGGTCGAACTTTTAAAAATTTTTGGGGCACTACAACTTGCATATTTTGCTCGTTTTTATGATTTCAATGATCAAGGGATATGAGCTTGGAAGTTTCCAACTGATAAATTTTCAATCATTGTCGAAATCCCAACTCTAAATATTGACTAATACTTTTCCATCCTAGGATGAGGACCTCGGAGCATGTTGAATGAATTTGTTTATGTTCACGACAAATAAGTCAGATATTAGAAGCTAATATCAATCTAAACTATAGATTTTTCGTCTCGAAATTTTGAGTTCACTTTTCTGGACTAATTTTACTTCATTCTCATAGAATCCTAATAGTTAGTAGTTTTCAGTTCATGCTTTCATAATAAAATATAAGAAAAGATTAAATTCTGTTGTCAAGATCTTGTGGACTACTGCCATCATGTAATTGTGAAAATACTTAGATATTAAGAAACCTTAAATAGGAAGTCTAATATGAAAGCCATACGTTTTAGCTCATCTTATCTTTCTGTCTGCAGTAGCATCCTTTTTTTTGCGGATTGAAATGTCTTTCAGCTGTGTTAAAATAATTATTTCAAATAAAAATAGATTAAACTTATCAATTGTAAAGAATTCATATCGTTATAGAAAAAAGTCAGTCAAAACATAGTTAGATGTTGTTCAATATTAGTTGCTTGAGTTCTAAATCAGACATTTTTGAAAGAAATGGTCGTTCCTTCTTTAATGTTAGCACATAAAACGTGGCAAACTATAATACGAGCTGTTACTATTAGAAACTTCAAGAACTATGAGTTTGACATCGTATATCTTCGTCAAACTGAAGTAATAGACTGCTTCTCGAAAGTACTGATTGGTTAATTGATGCATGAAATGCACCGGTTTTTTGCCGGTTAAATTAAGAATTTGAACCGGCCGAAAAAGTCGAACCGACTGGTCCGCTCGAAAAAGACAAACCGGCCAGTCCGGTCGAAAAAGCCAAACCGGCCGGTCCGGTCCGATCGAAAAGAATCTGACCGGTTCCAAGTCTGATATAGATTATAATTCGTAATTTTATAAATCAAAAACTAATTGTAAAGTTTGTTTTTTTTTCCCGTTATGAATATTCTTATAATTATATACGTGAATATTAAAAAAGAACGTAATCAACTGTACTCAATCATAAAACTTTATTTATTTGATACTTAATATAAAATCATGCATAGATTATTAAATATTTTATTATAAATAAAATTCAAAAACAAAAAAAAAAATTACTCACACGATTATCAAGAGAAGTATATGATAATATTCGATCTTGATGTATTGAATTAGTTACTGTTGGATAATAATTTGGCATAGAAAATCCAATTGGATTTAAATAAAGAGTTGTTGCTGTTGATGGTGATGCTGTTAATGGAGCACCTTGACAAAATGTAGCAGCATTTGGTGATAATTTACTTGTTGAATGTGCATCTTTTATTGATTGTTGATATGATATATCATTATTTAATAAACGTGTTTGTCCATAATGTGTAAAATATTCTTTATCATATGAATATTGATCTTAAAAAAAATAAAATAAAATATATTAATAATTTATATTAAATAATAATAATATATAACCATATTTAGTTGTTGGTAAATGATATTGTTGTTGATTTGGATATGTTGATAAATAATCTATATAGTAGAAAAATAAGAAATTTTCAAAAAAATAAATTAAAATTTATTTTTACTAGTAGTTGTATATGGATAAGATTCAATTGGTGTTGAAAATGTAGTTGTTGGCCATTGTTCAATTGATGCAAATATAGGAAGAACCTAAAATTTTTATATATAATAATATATTAAATTTAATATTTTGTTTGTTTTTTTTTACTACTGGTGATATAGGAGCATATGGATAAGTTCCAAGAAAAAATTGTTGTTGTTGTTGTTGTTGTTGTTGAGTTGGTATTTGATATGATGGTTGTTGTTGATATGTTCCTGTTGGTTTAGTAGTTGTTTTATAATTTGAAGTTTGTGGATTCCAATTTGTTGTTGTTTGAGAATAATCTCTTGGTATAGATCTATTTATATTAAAAAAAACATAACAAAAGAATAAAATTAAAAAAACATTTACGGATAATTAACAAGAGCATTAAATGGAGTAAATGCTGATGATGTAATACCATTATTTGTTTGTTGAAGATTATTTAACATAAATTGAGATGATGATGTTGTTGTTGGTGTTGTATGTTCAGGTATACGTGGTGTTGATGTAGGTGGTAAATGTGCTATTGGAATTTGTTGTTGAGATGAATATTGAGTTGGAATAGATGATGATGTATCAGTTAAATGATCAGATAAATGAGATGTACCACTTTCAGGAGGAATAACAATTGGTAAATTATTCGACTAAAAGAAGCGAAAAAAAAAAAAAATTTTTTTTAGAAAATTATTTGTTTATTAAAAATTTAATTACAATTATATTATTATCAGTAAGTGATAATGATGAAAGTTGATTTGTTGTTTCATGTAATGAATTATCATTATTATTCGTTGTTTGATGATTTATATAATTCGATGATAAAATACTAAAATTTCAAAATAAAAATAATCTTTTCTATATTAATGAATTCATAGAAAATTTTTCTAAGAACTATTATTTATAAGTATATTGAATGTCGATTCACTTGGCCTTAGACTGACGAAATAATGACAAAGATGTTCTTATATTTTTAAATAAAAATGAATTCTGATGAGTTTAGGAAAAATTATTAATATTTGTAACATATTCTATATTGCATACTATAGATATATTCAAATAGTTCACAGAAAATATTGAAAGATACTAATACATATGATAAAGTTTATGCTTTAGTTAATCATAACGACTAACATGGCCAACTGTGCCATAGAAATGGTGAATTGAGTAGGGAACTGCGGGACCACGTTTTTTTGGTCCCGGTCCCGGTTAATATTGTTTTTTTAGTCCCGGTCCCGTAAAAAATAATTTTTGGTCCCGTGGGACCGGGACCATTTAGCAGTTCCCTAGACTTGAGTCATAGAAACGGTCATCTGCATAATGAAAATGACCAATGATATCAAATAAATGGTCATCTGTACCATGAAAATAGGCAATTGTACTACGACTATGGTACTTTGTACCACGCAAATGGTCACTTGTACCTTGACTATGGTACTTTGCAGGGGCGGATCTATAGCAGACGAGATGGGACGACCGCCCCTCCCTTTGGTACTGGTTTCATGCTACTTTCTAGCGATTTTTCTCCAACATATTGTATGTTTATCGTAACCGCACCCCCGTTCAAAAACACCTGGATCCGTCACTGGTACTTTGTACCATGTAAATGGTCATTTGTATCAAGTGTTACAGGTGAATTTCGGTTTCTAGATCCAATCCTTTCAGTCTAGAGAATAAGCTAATAAATGATCGATTTATAATTCTTATAAACATTCTCAAGAAAATTTCCGAGACTTTTTTGTTTCAAAAAAAAACTCAAAAAACTATACGAAAATTTTGTTTGATTATATATTATTTTTGTAAATAATCTTACTCTTGATTTTCTTGTTGAAGATTATTGTTTACATTTGATGATAGATCTTTTTCATGATTATCTATTATTGTTGATATAACTGTATTATTATTATTATTAGATGGACTAACTACAATTGGTATGGAATCATTCCATTGTACATCACCAAATTGTATATCGATTGGTTCAGTTGAAAATTGAATTGTTGGATGCATTGATACAGGTTCTTGAGGTATTGTTGATGGTATTCGATGTTTTGATAATATTTGTAATGATGTTTTCATTTGACTATTATCAAAACTTAATGATTGTGGTATACCATCAATAAATTCATATTCATCTGTTAATGGTGA